CCTAAAAATATAAACGAAACTAAGATGAAGAAGCTAGGGAGTCGGGGATAATCAATCCAAGTTCTTTAAGCAAAATCGGCACATTAATCGTTCGATTTGATATTGACACTCTCGCTTAAACATCTAGCGGTTCCCTCTCAATAACTCTTCGTAACAAGGCATTGAACATAGACAAACAAGCTCGAGCATACAACACAGGTCAATTATCCAATCCCAATAACTTTTCGTGACAAGGGACGGGTCATTGACAAGCACGTATTTCAATCCAAAATCTATAGACTATTCATTTACGAAATCATCTACCTCATGCGAATCTAGGTCCACGACTTCTCCCCTTTCGGTTCTAAAAGTCGCTAATTAACTAGAAGGTGATTAATCAACTAATCATATAGAATTGACAAACCCTAACTCGACAAATTAACAATCAATCGTTTCCAATTGCAAAGATCGAGGTGTCACTCTTCGATTATATCAATCAATCAAGCAAGAATTCAACAATACCGAATCAGTTCAACTCGCACAAGGATGAACAAATCAAAGCCCGACAAATGCAAATTAAACAAGAACAATCATCTCCTATCACTAGCAATAGGAATTAGCTACGTAAATCAAATTCAACACACATAATCATTCTTCTCAAATCAACCATTATTCATGAATTAAATAAGAGAAAGAAATACTTACAATCAATCCAAATTCACGTGTTGAATCCACTTACAAAGCTTAATCCCTAATTATTAAGAAGAAGAAGAAGAAAAATGGAAGAGAAAGATTAAGAAAAGAGGAAAAACGAAGAAGAAGAAGGGAAAAAGAAGGAGAAGAAGAGTTGTCGTGTTATTTTTTTCTCGGGCCTAGGGTTTCACTCCCAGGAGGGGAGATTTATCCTGATTGAGGTCCCGTACGTGTATTTATATAGATCAGGTGAAAGGCATTAAAATTTCGTGTTGCGCCTTGTAGGATTAGCGCGCCTGCGAGATGCAATGGTGCCGCGCCGTGAAACAAGGATCTGCCGTGCCGTGGTGAGGGTTTCGCGCCGTGAAGAGGGCTGGTACCGCGCCGTGGTGAGGTGTTGTACCGCGCCGGAAGTGAGTTCTGTTTTTTTCTGTGTGTTCCCAACGAACTCCGCTATTTAATTACTCTTACCCGACTAATTTTTGCCTAAAATCCAGTCCTCCCGAGGCTTCCGACCTACACACCATAAACAAAGAAAAACCAGAAAAAACACACGAAAAACACATAGATAACTAAGATAGAACAAGATGTACAATAAACTATAAAAACAAATAAAAGCCTATGAAAAGACCTAAAACGGGGAAAAATGAATAAAAAAATAATAAGGAAAAACACAACAAAAATGAGACAAACAGGTTTATCTCTCTGAAAGAGATGGGCCTCACTCTCGTTTACGATGGAACACAATCTTTCGACACACGTGAGGACATCGACGATTTAGCTGTCAAAGAAATCTCTTCTCTTGACGATCCGGACTTGCATTTTACATTAGGCACGTCAAATCTTCCTTCTGGTGATTGTGCTTTGAGTCCGAAATTCTATTGTTGAGAGTGAGCATATGGAACTGAGTGTTGATATGGTGTATAGCATGGGAGAGAATTTATTGGAAGATTCGATTGTTCCTATCCATGAGTTTGGTGGATCTAACGTACTTGACCATGCTCGGGGGTATAATTTTGAGGAGGAGGATGAGTTTGAGCATGATGACGTGGATGATATTGAGGAGTATTCCGAGTCGTTATTTGATGTCGTTGACCCAAAGTTTCCGTTGATTGATGATTCGACTCTTGATGTAGAGTATGAAGTGGTTCCCATGTCTTTTGGGTCGTCATTTTGTGTTATTGAGGATCATGACTATTTGGAGGAGTTTATTGCGTTTACACCCATGTCGCCGATGCTTGAGATCGATAAGTACACATCCGAGATGATGCATATGATGATCGAGATTGATTCAACGTGCTCCATGGACATTTTCGTATACCAGGAGGTCGATTATGTGGCCATGATTGGTATTCTCTTCTCTTGGTGGTTGTTGATATCCGTGCTCGGTTTCATAAGAACTTGGCCACGAGAGCTTATTTGGCCCGCCTTTGTTCCGTTTTACTGTCCCGCTTACTCTTGGAAAATACATAGGCGTGGCACGATCGACATTTTTTCTTGGATCCCAGTTGATTTTGGTTGGGGACGTTGAGCTCAAGTCTTTAAAATGAGCGCTTCGTGGGAGGCATCCCACGGTTTTTGCTTTTTCTCGTATTTCCTTTTCTATCGAAAATAAATAGTCCGACAAGCACACGACACACGATATGCTCGAAGAAGGAAAAGAAATTCGGGTCAAGGATTGGTTGAAAATTTTGAGAAATTTGGGTAAATATCGAAAATTTGGCTAAGGGGTAAAAATTCAGGAAAAAAAATGCTCGTGCTGACCTGCTCGGCATTACCGACTTGTTAGAGCTGAGATAAAAAAAAATGGAGTGCAAACGGGTCAAGAATCAAGTGAAAATTGTGCTCGAAAGTTATGTTGAAAGTTGGGGTTAAAAAAAGTGAAATATGCCTTAGCATTTGAATTTTCCCTAAAAGACCCCCACTCGCGCTCGAGCCTGCATTCGCGACCTGGCGCTCACGCATTCGCTGGCGAGCCTCAGTTTGTGACCCAGCGAACAACCTCTCGGGCGCTCGCGAAAGTTCCTGCACTAATGAGCGCGCGCCTACCAGTCTTTTAGCTCCAGTGCGTCCGCGACCCCAACGCCCTTCCGCGTGCCTGCCAGTGAGGACTCGCATGCCAAGCCCCATCCGCGATCCAGCGAGCCCTAGCTCGCGCGCGAGTGCCTGCCCGCGACTCGACGAGCGTCCAAGGCAGCTGGAACCAGTCTTCTTCCCCAAGTTTTTCTGTCGCCACCCGCCACCGTGCGCCGCCACCCTCTCCAGCCAAATTGCTCTGATCATGAAAATTTTTACCTCGACGCTGACAATATATCCGAATTTCAGGCGAAAATTTCGGCGAGAAGACCTTCGATTTTCCGATGAAAAATTCTAGATCTACAAATCTCACCGATCTTCTTTTCCATTTTTTAGGCTACCCACTGGTACCCACAAAAATCCGAGGACACCTCCGGAATTTTCTCCCCGAGGCGCTCCCGATGCCGGCGACCTATTTTTCGACCAAATTTCACTCACCGAGCCCCCGAGTTCGCCATTTTCGTCATTCTTCTCAGCAACCTTCATGGATTTTTCATGGGAGGTCCCTTTTCCGGCTTTTCGGTTTTGATGTGCGATTCTTGAATATGCGAACACATGACGCATAATCGTTAATTATACGGTGTTTTGGATTTGGATATGTAGTCGTAAACTATGCGAAAATTTATCGCATAATCATAAAATATGCTACGTTCGATTTGAACATGCGATATCATAAATGCGAAACATTGTCATCGCATATAGTAAATTATGCGATTGATTTGGATATGTTAGTCATAATCGTCAAATATGAGGCTATCTATTTTCAATATACGATAACTATATATGTGAAATATTATTTCATATTGTAAATTATATTGCGGATTTTGATATGCGATTACAATATACTAGTATTTGATCTGTGCATTTGCACAGATATAAATAAATTATTGTGGGTCTGTATGCATATAATGATTAATTATTTTTCTTTCACTTTTTTGCAGACCAAATTTACAATTAAAAGAGTTGGAATATTTTTTTAAATTGCGTTTATCTGATTGGATGTAATGTATATTTTGGTACGTCTTTTATTTGTGAATTATTTATTATTTATTTAGGAATTTCAAATATATTTTTTATTTAAAAAAAAAATTAAATGTAACAACAATAATAACATCTAATCACATTATACGGTCAACACATTATATGGTCAACTGTCATTAATAAAAAATTTAAAATAATTTTTGTAATTTTGAAGTGATGAGTATTAATTATTTAATGATTAAATGAAAGATTAAATACATCAAAATGTAACGGTTTTTGGAGGGAAAATTGTTAAATTGCCACATAGGTAAAATTAAATAGGTTTTATTAAATGTTTTGAGCTAGTAATTATATATATATAGATGCGGGAGTATATTACATAATATTTAACTATTCCTCTCATTAGGATACACGTTGATATATGTATCTCGCATAATTATTAACTAAGCAGTTAATGCCATTTTTATTGGAATGAAAAAAGATATTTATTGATGGTACAATGTAGAAAAGTTATTTTTTGATGGTAAAGAAAGACCTTAGTGCATGCGCAGCTTCACCGCTTCAGGCCGTGGGTGCAGATCGGGGTCGCCGACTCTCGTCCGGCCGTCCTCTGCGACTCTCGCTTGTTGCCTGTTGGTGTATCTGTTATTTGTTCCTAGATTAACATATATTTCTTTACCTGACCTGTGTACATGAATCAATATCTCTCGTTCTGAAAGGCACAACGTGTTTGATATGTGGTTTATGTTAATTGTTCAAATATTTTTTGCACAATGGTGCCCATGTGTTTTGTCTAGATATAAAGAATATCTGATTACGTCTTTGCATTGAAATGTTCTATGTCTAATCAGTGGCTTCCTCAATTATTTGGTTTTATTGTCTCAATTGAGCAGCAGCAATTTACAATTTACCTTTCAATCAGTCGGGGCCTTTTTGTAATTAGTCGAAGAGTTTAGGACCCATAATGTATAGGTAATTGGTGCCCACTTTTGGGGCTGTGTAGTTAGATTGGTGGGGTCTTTAAGGTGGTGCTAGAGATATCTGTTTTGATCCATGGCAGTGGCGCTTTTGAGGTTGAATGATAATTTGTACACAAGTTAGGATAAAATATAGTTCAGTTCGAATTTTAGTTAGTGGGCTAGTGTTGAAGGTACACTAAAGGTTAACATACGATTCAAGGCACAAACAATTAGTGGTTATAAGAATTTTAACTGTTAGGTACTGGTTGGAAGTTCTGTAGCAGGTGTTTAATGAAATTTCATGCAGAATAAATGGTTGATGAAAATGAGATCATTTCAGTTGCAGGTGTTTGGTTAAATGTCATTCAATAGAATTTGTTGATGCAAATGATACCATCTGCTGTTTCTGGAGAATTTGGTTATGGTCCTTTTATTCATTTTTTCTCTTT